GGCCTTGGGGATCCAAGGGCTTTGTGGGGTGAAGAGCAAGAAGGGGGCAAGGACAGTGCCAAGGAGTGAGAGGGTGGGGTCATTCCTGGTTTGGTGGAGGAAGCTGAGCTCAGGCAGGAGGTGTTGAGTGCGGGGAGATGGCCAGGAGCAGGTGAGGACTCCAGGCCAAGGTTCGGGAGAGGGACCAGGGCTAGTGATGGAGTCTGGGATGGCCTCAGAGCATCGTGGCCACTGAAGCTGGTAGAAGGTACAGGATGCAGGGAGCAGAAGGGCAGGAGCCTGGGTGGGGGTCTGGAAGGGACAGTCAGATCTGGGGACCAGGAGTGCTTATGGGTCAAGGGAAGAGAAGTTTTAAGGAGGACGTGTTCTCCCATGTCCTGGTCCCCAGGCTCCCTACACACCTACCACCTGGCTTGTGCTGCCCCTTTGTTGGGAGATGCCTGTGTGGATGGGTAGGTGGGTGGTTATCTCTTTAAATGGCCACTGGGAGAGGGGGTTCTGGAACTCCTGCTGCCTCAGAGGGCCTGACCCAGCCTCCCTTCCCCCACCCTCTCTGCACCTGCTTCCTGGAAGCCCTGGGAGCTGGCTGTGAGTCACACAAGTGGGCGTGTTGAGGTGTGGGGTGTGGAGCCCACTGGACAGGCCAAAGGGACATCCCACTGGGTGATGGAGGTCTCTGGAATGTAGGGGGGTTCCTGATCAGTGACTCCTGGGGGGACGGTCTCACTGTCCCAGGCAGGGGTGCTGGGGTCGGACCTGCACCTTGGGGGGACCTGAGCGGGGCTCCTCCAGGTTCTCCTTCAGGGCAGGCAGAAGGTAGAGAATCAGGATTGTAAAAGTCTGTGGAGGGGCAAACACACCCACCTCCTCCTCTGATGTGTCGGTTCACACAGCCCCGCTCTGAGCATGGCCAGCTTGACCATGAGGGTCATGGTACCTGCCAGGGGCCCAGGGATGTCAGTGCAGGGCCCTCCGGCCTTCCAAGCGTCTTCCTCCCACACCAGTATCAGGCCCTGGGGTGAACCTCATCTGTGAGCAGGTAGAAGGTGAAGGTGCCACAGCCCAGGGAGAAGGCTCAGGTAAACTTGACCGCTGTGGAGCTAGAATGGCCCTGAAGAGGACCTCTGATGTGAAGACAAATGGAGCCAGCAGTCCCAGGACAGGTGGAGACCCCGGGACCCAGCAGGCCGGTCCTCTTCCTATATTGGAGTCTCCAGTTGGCAGGCCCCCGTCCTTCACACAAAACCTCGCCAGTAAGGTAACTGGCCAATTCGGAGAACCTGGCCTCAAGGACAGGCTCTTGGGGCCAGATCCAGGTCATGAGCAGGAGGGAGAGCAGCGCAAAAATGGGCGTGGACATGGCTCCCGTGAGGAGCGCTGGACAGGCTTCAGGATGCCTGGGCCATGGGCGTGTGGTGTGGGGTTGTCCGAGCACAGAGCCCAGCTGCAACCTTGACCCCATCCCCCGACGCACCGCCATCCTAACCGCATCCCTATCACCCAGTCCAACCCCCTCCTCATTAGCAACCTAACTCATTCTCAACCCCAGCTCCAGCCCCAGACTCAACCCCACACCAATTCCCAACCTAAACCCATGCTCACGTCCAAACCCACCTCTGAGCCCAATTCCAGCTCAACCCAGTCCTAACCCTCTCTCAACCCCATGAATAATTCCAGCTCCAATTCCCCAAACCAGCTCTTAACCAATCCTGTCCCAACCCCAAACACAACCCATCTCTGAACCCCAGCTCCAATCCCTAACTTAACACCAGCCCTATCCCACCACCTAACCCCATTCTTATTGGCAAACCCGACCCCAAACGCACCCCATCCCCATCTACAAACCCAAACCCATCCTCATCCTGGGACTTAACCCGATCCTCATTGCCATCCTCACATCAGACTGTTTCCAATCCCAGCTCCAGCCCCAGTCCCACATCCACTTCCTTCGTTATACTTCCCCCAACCCCTATAAGTCCTACCTCAACCTCATCCCATTTCATGTTCATCCCATTTCCAAGTTCAAGGCTGTAATCCTGTTTCTCATCTCCCTAAGTCCCACCTCTATCATTGACCAACGAAAGGTTGACCTTGCCTGGTCCTGGGAGGAACCTCATGTCTGCTAAGTGTCTCTGTTTACCTGGAGTCCTTGGGCCACACCAGATAGTTTATGCTATCAACGTGGTTGCGGGGGGGGAGGGGGGGGGAGGTCGTCTACTATATCCATTTGACCCCAGGAGATGCTTGGAAACTGAATAACTAAGGCCAGCCATGGGGGTGCCTCTTGCCTGACCCCCCATGAGAACCCTGGACACCAGGGTTTGGGTAAGCATCTCCTGTTGGCAGGACTCTGTGGGTGTCCTCACGCATCATTGTTGGGAGAAGTAAGTGCTGTCCGTACGACTCCATTGGGGGAGACAACTGGGACCTGGTGGTGCCTGGTCTCACTTGGATGCCGCTCCTTGCTTTGCTGATGTCAAACTGTACCCTTTCGCTGTAATAAATTGACTGTGAGTGCAACCGTTGTCCTGAGCTCTGTGAGTCCTTCTAGCAACTCACTGAACCCAGGGGTGGTCTCGGGGACCCCTGAACTGTAGTGAGTGGAGGGGGATTAACTCAGAGAGTTAGCAGGGCCAGAACACGTGGCATTTTGAATGATCTGGATAGATTTTAGTTGTTGTTTTTTTACCTGAGATTGGAGCCACTGGAGGGCTTAGAGCAGAAGTGACATCATTTATTTTTTGTTGTCATCACCTGAGGATATTTTTTCCCATTGATTTTTAGAGAAAGTGGAAGGGAATGAGGAGAGAAGGAGAGAGAAACATCGATGTGAGATAGACACAGTGATTGTTTACCTCCTGCAATCCAGGTACTACTTGCCCTTAACAGGAATCGAACCCGCCACCCTTTGGTGTGCGAGCTAATGCTCTAGCCCCTGAGGAACACTGGCCAGGGCAGGAGTGACATGATTTTAATAAAGATTTCTCCAGATGCTGCATAGAAAATGAATTGTAGGTGCAGGAGGGCAGGCGGGGTAAGGGCTGAGCTGGTTAGGAGGGTGTGGCCATGAACCAGGTGACAGACGACGGATGGTGGCTTGCATTGGGGTGATCACTGGTGAAGCAAGAGTCACATTTTAAAGGTAGAGCCAACACTATAGGCTGATGAATCAGATGTGGAATGTAACAGAGAAAGCAGCTGGATAGACATGGAGCTGTCCTTTACTAAGATGGGGAGACCATGGGAGGAGCAGGTGTGGGGTGTGAGCAGGACCAGGAATCCGGCGTCAGATATGTGAGGCGTGAGGTGCCTCTTCTTTTCGAGCGGAAAGGCTGAATAAGAAGTGGGAGGTATGAGTCTGCAGTTACAACATCATCATTGCTAGAGTCAGCCCCTATAAATATGATTGCTGGAATACTAAGCCTCGTCAATATTTCTACTTAACGAGGCCTCAGTCGAGTAGGATTAGAGAAGGCCTCAATTGCCATTATTTTTTTGGACGAAGCCTCTATAAACATAGCATTATGGTGATTTGAGGAGGCCCCAATAAATCGTATTTCTAGGGAGTCAGCCTCTATTAATAATAGCATAGGCGGTGATAAATATTACTGAAATTGCCCTTGCTAAATAGCCTTTTTATTTTATGATTGGCGTCAGTACATGTCATGGCAGCCGACATCCGTTTATTGGGTGACTGAGCGAATGAAGACAAGGTCAAAGTCACACTCATGAATAGTGTGTGAAGAGGTGGGTGAAGGAGGTGAAGGGTCAGAGTTCTGGAGCCCATTGGGGACGGGAGAGGAGGTTGGGAGAGCCAACTAGAGATGGCGGGGTGAGGGGGCAGGTGGACAAGGAAGCTAGTTTGTTTATTTTTTTCCCACTCAGCTCTCTATTTATCCTATTATCCTACTGCGATATTGTGATTTCTAATAAGAAAGATGTGTTTGATCTGGGGGTCCTGATTATGGCAGCTCCTAAAAGCCCTGGAATTTCCCAATCACGGAAGCCATTAAGGTGCAAATGAGGTGACTTTTGGACCCCCACTTAAGGATGGGGGAATGGTTGCCAGGGGAGCCAACCATGTGCTTAGAGCAGTGGCCCCACCCCATAACAAAGAAACAGAATTTCCGGAGGATGAGGCCCAGAAATCAGGATTTTAAAAAAAGATTCCCAGGTGATTCTAATGTGCAGCCAAGGTTGAGAACCACTGGCTGAGAGGGTTGGAACTCTCAGTCCCAGACCCTGACCTCTGGGGAGGAGAGAGGAGCCGGAGGTTGAGTTCACTCACCAATGGCCAAGGATTTCATCAATCACTCGTGTGTCATGCAACCTCCTCGGGGAGTTTCAGGGGTGGTGAACACTGGGAGATTTGGGGAGGGTGGTGACTTCAGAGAGGACATAGATTCTATGTCATAGAAGCTCTGAGTCCCTTCCCCACACCTGGCCCTCTGTATCTCTTCCATCTGGCTGCTTCTGCGTTGTGTCCTCTATAATAAGCTGGCAATGTAGTAAGGAACATGTTCTGTGAGCAGCTCTAAGAAATTAATGGAACCTGAGGAGGGGGTCATGGGAACCTCCAACCTATAACTGATGGTCAGAAGCTGGTGGGCTGTGATTGGCATCTGAAGGGAGCGGGGGTGCAGTCTTGCAGGACTGAGCCCTTAACCTGTGGGATCTGATAGTATCTCCAGGTAGATAATGTCTGAATTGAATTCATTGCTTGGAAGAAAAAATACCCATTGGAATTGTTGTCAGAGTGGGACCTACATACCCGTTTCCTAGAAGTTGAATTGTCACCTATGTGGGGGCTGCATGACTGATCTCTGTCCCTGTGTCTACAGAAACAGCAGGTTGGGTTGCCATCATACACCCCCTATTTGCCACACTCACCCCAACCCCTCAGGGAGTCAACCTGTGGTAGTTTCACATCAGTTTTATTAGAATCTAAAAAATTGCTCTAATAGATATTCCATTTCTCAAACACCC